GGGTGTTTAGTCCGGAGAAGAAGCGGGTGTGGAGAGTACGTCTTTACAGCATCAACAGGCATTTAAAAAAAATAAAAAATAAAAAAAGGACAGTTCTTTTTTCTTCGTCGTTTTGTTTTGTTTTGTTTTTTTTAGCTCAGTAACGCCTATAATAAAAGGTCCGGAAACTGCTTCTTATATTTATATCAATGCTTTCATTGTCTGTATTCTTTTTGTTCGTGCGGCTCTATTGCGCAATAACCGTGACAGCAACAATTGCCGCAGCGACAGCAGTAGGGGATGCTCGTTCGAGCAGCAAATGTACCAGTCGCCCATTTTTCTATGCGTCGGATTGTCTTGAAATGAACGAGTGTGCATGGTGTTGTGAACGGCCTATAGGCCAGCAGTGTTTTGATAAATTTGACAATAATTCCGTGGAACCGCCTTGCAGTGACTATGCCATTGTAACAAATCGCGATACAACATGTGGACAGCTTTGCTCTGTGAAATATGATGACTGTGAAAGCTGTGAAATGAGAAATTGGTGTTACTTTTGCATTTCCACTTCCACGTGCCAGCCTCCATATGCGTCTTGCAGAAATGGTGAAGTCATTCAATCTTGTAAGATGCGTGAAAAGGAGGATGGGGGTAGCAATTATTACTTTACAGTAACCATTGGGGTAGGAGGCGCACTTATGGTATTTGCACTTATTGCAGCTTTGATTTTGTTGTCCCTACAATTACGCCGGCGGGAACAGGATGAGCAACAAAATTTTGTCGAGGAAGGAACACCTTTTCTTCGAGATACCACCACTGTCGAGGAGAATACTAATGTCCAACCTGTTACAACGACGGCAACAGCTCCTACTACTGTTATAACTGCCTCTGGCATCATGCCCAGCAACATCACTACTACCAATAATGATAATAATGAAAATGACAACAGCACCAACGAGTATAATATTCATGACACTGAAAATAGTGATAGGGATAGTCATGATTTGGCGACAAATGCGCCTGCCGCGGTGGCATCGGGCGAGGAGCCCCCTGCAGCACGTGATTTTAGGGAGGAAGAGGGGGCAGAAGTGCGTCTGCCAACACCCCGGTCAGCGAAGTTCAGTACGGGGGAGGATGATTCTGTCTGTTTTCTGTGCCTTGATGCCAGTCCTTCCGTGACGTTTCTTCCATGCTATCATACCTGCTGCTGCGAAACATGCAGCAACAAACTACGCCCAACACGCGGCGATGTGTTGACGTGCCCTTTTTGTCGAACCAAGATAGTGGCGATGGTCAGCCTTCATAGTGTCTTGGCGCAGGCAGGTTTATCGTGATAAATTTTTCCCTCGCCGCCAATCGCATAATAAAAGAAGAAGAAGAAAAGGTGTATGTGTGTGCTTTGCTTTTTTTTTTTTTTTTTTTTTTAGACGGAATTGACGCTTTGGTTGTATAGTTGTTGTAGTGACCACCTTTTTGTGCTTGTGTGTATACATGCGAGAGTGAGAGTGAACGGAAAGGAGTGAAACACCATTTACAATAACCAGTATGTATATATAAATATATATATATATATACTGCTTTTTTTTTTTTTTTTTTGTATACATCTCTTGTTTAGGAGACAATTATTGTCCCATTCGGCGTTTAGAAGACCGTATTTACTATATCTCTATGTGTACTCTCTCAATGTGTGTTTTTGTGTTTTTTATTTTTGTGTGTGAGTGTGAGTGTGTGTGTGTGTGTGATTTGGATTATTTTTCTTTGAGAAGGCGTCACTGTATATACATATATATATATATACATATATATATATATATGTATATGTATTTAATGCATATGTTTTGTTTTTTTGTGTGTGTGTTCACAATCCTCCTCTTGTATTGTGCCTCGTTTCCCATTTGTGTTTTTTTTTAATTTATTTTATTTGTCAAGTAGGGGATTTTGTTAGTTGCAGATGATCTCAACGCGGTACAAAGTGATTGAGAAGCCGGGCGGCCTTGGCGAAGTCGTGCAAGTTGCAGTAAAGGAAATTGGCGTGAATACGGGAGAAAACACGCCCGCGCTGTTCGTATCCCCCTTGCAGACGTTTACGACGACAATGGGCGTTAATTCACGGTCTCAGAAGGAAACTACGACATGTGCCGCGTGTGCACGCAGACAGAAGCGTATGTTTCAACTGGAGATGCAGTTGCAGCAGTTAGAGACGCAGTTGCATGTTAACAACATACTGAACGCGTTAATGAATAGCATGGAGGTGCAAGGGACCGCGGCTGGAGAAGGTGCCGGTGGTGATTACACCAGTAGGCCCCATGGGGCACGCCGACGTTTGCAGCGCCAATCTTCGCCGTTAAATCAGGAAAAGGAAGACGAGGAACCGAATGAGACGCTGTTAGAGATGATGCGGGAGGAGCTTAAGCGCCAGGATCTGCTTCATGCCTTGATGGACCTTATGGAGCGCCCCACATATGCAGAGAGGCAGGAGATCAAGAAGTTTGTGCCAAAAAATGTGAAGGCTCTCTTATTTACTCCTTCAAAAAATGTTTTTTCGATTCCCACACCAGAAAAATCGATGTAAAAAGAAAAAGAGAGAGGGAGAGGAGGATGTCGGGGAAATTTGAAATGGACCAAACAGCGGCTGCTTGACCCTTTGACTGACGGCTTGTGTTCAGGCGTCTGTCCGGCATTTCTTTCTGTTTTGTAGTGTTTATGTGTGTGGGTGGGTGTGTGTTTGCTTACTGAGTCGTTTCTGATGCTTTTGATTTGGTGTACAAGTTTTATTCTTTCATCCCTGCACTTTTCCATATATATATATATGCATGTATGTAAATTCACTTTTTTTTTTTTTTTTTTTTTGCTCTACTCGAAAGGTGCCCATTTTTTGCTTTATTTGTTTCTGCGCCCATCGCCAAAGTCAAAGAAAAAAGAGGGTCAATTATTACATTATGATGGCCAACATGATGACTCGGCTGGATGCCAGTGTATTCCCGCCAAGGAAGCCCGGGCAAACAGACGGTGATCTTCGAAAAGAACTCAATGAACGCAAAGCACCACGTGATTCGACGATTCTTACCCGAACCGAGTTGGACATTGTGCGTAGTATGATCGCGGGGAAGAATGTCATGACGTTTCCCCTCCAAAGCACTGTGCGAACCCGCACCGCTGCCGCCAATGAGCGAAAGCAGCGCATGCAGGAATACGATGCCCTACATCGTCTGCATGGTGACAATGACAAGACGCTTGAAGACATTGAGGAGGAGCAGCAGAAGCGACTTCACTTGGAGCGGGCCAAGAACCTCATTGACGAGCAGTTTGAAGAGGTGAGAGCCATGAATCAAATTGTAATGGAGGCAAAGTGTGTTGCCATCCGCAATGCACAGCTGATGGAGAAGAAGCGCTGCAAAGAGGAGGAAAGGGCGCAGGAGGAGGAGCTGGACCAGATGATGTTGTTTGAGTCCAAGAAGGCACAGCAGCTGTACGAGGAACGTGAGCGACAACAGATAGAAGGTCGCAAGAAGAACTTGGCGGTCATTAAGGCGCAGCTGGACGAGCGGGAGGTTGACCGAATTCGAAAGCTCGAGGCCCACCAACAGGAACAGGAGGCGATGACGCGCCATATTGAACGTCTGCGGGAGGAAGAAGCGGCGGAGAAATTACGCCGACAGGAAGCCGCACGTCGTCTGATGGAGGACGCCGCACTTGCCAACGCGGAGCAGATCAAACTGAAGAAGCGGCAGCAGGAACTGGAATTGGAAGAAGACAAGCGTGTAGCGCAATACATCAAAGAGAAGGAGGAGCGTGAACGTCGCTTCGCGGAGGAGCAGCAGCGTATACGGGAAGAAAAGGAGCGGGAAGTTGCCAGACTTCGGGCGCAGCAACAGCGGGTGCAGGACAAACAGGCCGAGCTTGACGAAGTTCGAGCCAAACGTATACAAGAGACACACGCGCGGGAGATGCGACGTAAAGAAAAGGAGCGAAAGGAACACGAACGAGCCGTCTTGCAGGATTTGGCCCGTGTCCGCGAACAACAGATGGAGGAGCGCAAACGCATCAAGGAGGAACAACGGCAGCAAGAGATAGAGGAACTTGAGCACATCGTCGCTGTACAAAAACTTGCGCTTGAGCAGGAGCGTGAGCGCAAGGCGCGCGCACGTCAGCAACATGAAGAGAATTCTTTGGCGGTGCTTAAGCAGATCATGGAGGTGGAAGAGCGTCGTCGCCGCGAGCGCCAAGAGTACGTTGCGGAGGGAAATCATGTCATGATGCTGATGCGGGATCGTGAGGCGGCGATTGAGGCCATTCGTCAGCGAAAGCTTGCGGAGTTAGGGGAACTCGGCGTGCCCGAAGAGTACTGCCAGGCGCTAATGAAGAAAATCAAAGTGCGGGGTGCAGTATGACCCAACTCCCCCTTCGCCTCCTTCCCGGTCCCCTAGCGACAAGGGCAGATAATACCGCCACCGCCCATATGGCCACGATGAACAGAATCCTTTTATGTTTTTGTGCGCTGGGGGAAGAGAAAGTATTATTGCGGTTGGTTTCTCCCCTTGACGGTTTTCTCATTTTCTCTTCTTCTTTTTCTTCTTTACCATTTCTCTTTACCCAATTGTTTTTGGTATTTGCGAGCGTGTGAGAGGAAGCGGGGGGAAGAGGGGGAGGGGAGTGAGGTGCTTGCGGGAAGGTTGTTGATGCGCGTTGTTTCATCCCCAGAACTGCGGCAAGCGGAGCTGATGTATGATAGATGGATGTATGTTATCCCGCCTGACCGATTTTCTATTTATTTTTTTTTTCTTTTTTTTTTTTTTCTTTTTTTACCTTTGTGTGTGAATGTGCATCTGCTTATTTTATTTCTCTGTTGCTGTTTTGTGTACATTTGATTGACGAGGTGAAAAATTCTGCGAATGAACCCCGTGCACTCCTTCCGATGTCTTCTTTCCTTCTTTTTATTGCAGCGGAAACAGCAGCAGAGGCGTGCGCTCAACCGGGGGCGGGTGTAGAGGAGAGGCTGAACGGAGGAAGACTGGGAGCGAAAAGAGAAGGACGGAGCACGCGCCCCGCAGGCGAGGGGAAAACACACGAGTGAAGAAGAAGAAAAACAAAGAAGGACGAAAAAGCAAAAAACAAAAACAAAAAGGGGGGGAAAAAACAAAAGGATGGGCAACAGGCAGACGGTGCAGCCGCTGATTGGGGGGCCGAGAACCTTCTACCTTGTCTCGGGCGGGCCGAGAATCCGATACGTTGGCCACCCGTCCAGTGCCGGTCCGCTCATCTTCCACATTGAAACGGATCTCATGGACGACAATGAGGCTGTGGACCGTGCGGAGACGATTCAGCTGCCAGTGGCTGTTCCGTCAAGGCAGAAATTTAGACTGGTGCAATTGGACTCGAAGAATAGGGAATCTGGTTTTCTGCTCTCTTTTTCGATTGCCATGTCGGAGCCGGGGCAGACGCTTCGGGTACTCGCAGGCGTGGACATTGAATATCGCGCCGGGGAAGGGGTGCAGTTGATGCAGTCGGAGAAGAGTCAAAACCCCTTTTGTTTATTGGAGTTTGTCTCACCGGAAGAATTCCGGGAGGAAATTGAAGTTAGCGAGGTGCTGCATCCTGAAAAGCTTAACAAGGCCATCTTTAGGTATTCTGAAAACGGGGCAAGGCGCCTGACGTACGCACCGATTGCCATTGAACTTGTGTATGAGGCGCCCACCGACAGAACCCCATCTAAAAGCCCAGATTGCATTAGCCCGCCCTCTGTCAAATCTGCCTTCGCGTCCAGACAGGAGTGCGAGAACAGCATGAGCCACAACAGCCATGCTTCTTTCGCGGCGACGTTGCTTCCACAGAGCGAGCGAATGGTACAGTACACCTTTCTGGATATTCCCGAAGGTGCTCTGGGGCGTACAAAGGTGTCGTTGTTGCCAAAAAGCGAACCACAGGAAGGAGCAGCGCGGATTGTGTATGAAGCAAAGATTCTGCGGCAGCTTTTGCAACACGGTACACAGGTGTATGAGTTGGACGATGTGTTTGACCTTGGTGGTGATGGGAGTGACAATAACCTTGACGGCAACGATGAAGAAGAGGAAGAAATAGATCTTTGCGTCATTTGCTTATTGAACCCAAAAGACACAACTCTTCTTCCGTGTCGTCATATGTGCCTCTGTTACGAGTGCGCTAGCATTTTGCGATTTCAGCAAAACAACCGGTGCCCTGTTTGTCGCTCCAACATTGACCGTGTCATGACACTCTGAGGGGTTGTATTTATACCGTTGCAAGGACGGCGCAGTGCCGAGGATGACATGGACAATGACGGTGGAAGTCTCATCTGCTCAGAGAAGGAAGGAGAGAACGAGAGAGAGACAGGAAGAAACACACATACGCATACCATTTATGTATGTGCGTGGTTGGAGAATATGTTGTTGTTTTCTTGCTGTTTTTTGTTTGCTTTTTGTTTTGTTTTGTTTTGTTTTTGTCTTTGCTTCTTTTGTCTGTGTCTTCTTTTTGCTTCTTTGTGTTTTTTTTTTTTTGGTTTTATTTATTTTTGAAAAGTATTTCTTTTAGCGTTTTTTGTTGTTGTTGTTGTTGTTTGTTTGTTTGTTTGTTTGTAGTGGAAGTTTCCGCCCATTCAACTTTGATGGGCACTTTCATGAGTCCGTTTCTTTTCCCTCTCTCTCTCTCTCTCTGTATATATGTATGTGTATATGTGTTTGCATGTGTTTCTGCTGGGTTTTTTTTTTTTGCCTTTTTCCCTTTGCGAAGAGCATCGTCTCGTCGCGGCGTCGCTTCCCCGTTGCGTCTCCTGCTGCAGTTGTGGGAGCAGAAATGCGCTGTGACTCTCCCGACCTCCTCCTTCTTCTTTCCCTCCTCCCTGTTTCTCTCCCGCAGGAAGTAGTAGTCATGCCACACACAACGTCCACGGCGGCGCGAAGAGAAGAGGAGGCTGCAGGAGAAAAGAGGGACGTAAGCAGCAGGTCTGGCAGTGAAAGCGGCAGCAAAAACAACACAAACGACAACGATGTCGCCGTGGAGGCACGACGACCGTCACGACGTGCACTGCACCGGCATGCCGTGAAGAAGTTTAATGAACGGCGTAAAAATGAAGAGCGAAGGCGTCTGGCGGACGAGCGCGATGGGAAACTGTTGGACCGCAACAATGCGGCTGAAAGTGTGGCTGGTGGTATTGAAGGAACTCCCGTCTCTCATACCGACGGGGGCGGGGAACCGCAGGCAACGCAATTGCGTCGTGTGAATCCCCTGGAAAAATCAATTCTGATAAATAAGTGGGAATTTGAGTTTTTTTTTCGGACAATACCGTCTGAATTATTGCAGACGCCTGCGGAATCGAAGGGTCCAGAAACCGCCGTGATTCCACCTTCCTCCTCGTCGCTTTACAATGAGCAGGAGCAATCGCTTGTTGTGCTGAATGATGATAGGCATCGAAATTCGGGCGGATCCATTTCTCTGAAGACTCTTATGCAGAGTAGTATCACAAAGAGCATTCATGTAAGGCGTGTGGAAGGGGTCCCACCGCTTCCCATGAAGACGCCGATGCAGCCTGGAACAGACTTGGATCAACCAACCCGGAACTACCTGTTACCGGACACAACGTATAATGTTCATCAACACGCCCCGGGGTTCGAGCGCGATCAGAATGCAGCGAAGAGGTCGCTACTTGCCTGCGCCGTGCAGGAGTGGCGTGGTGGGGAAGAAAACGTTTTGCTGCTTTCGACGGGTGAGGCGCTGAGAAGTGTGTTTGAGTCCACATACTGCGATGAGAAGCCTCTTGCTTTAGAAGTGAGGCGAATGGGGCCAACATTGTTGATTGACTCACATAGTGAGCGGGATTTTCGCACAAGGGTGCGTGACATGCGGGAGAAGGCGCTGTTGGGTAAAGCGCTCTACCGCATTCACAACGATGTCTTTTCTTGGAAAGAAAACGACGATGATAATTATGAGGGCGCAGGCGGTGGGGTTCTGTCACTGCCGACGCACCGCGTGGGGTCACTTGCCCTATCAAAGGAGATAAGAACACTGAGTCGATATTCACACATATTCTCATGGGAAATTGGTCTAATGGATGTGTTGGTTGGCATTGACACACCCATTGTAATCGACCGTAGGGACAACACGGAGTTTGTACTGAAGTTGGAGAACACCTCAGTCGTCATGACACCACAGGAGATCCAACGTGATGCATTGCGGTGTTGGTTCGATGCAACGCTTGCCAATGTGCCGCATGTTGGCATATATGTACACAATGATGGTATTATTCAGCGGTATGAAGTAAGAAAAGTGCAAGAATTGCTTGGAATTGTCGAGGGAAGTATGGCGACGGCAGCCATGAATTTTACAATGAATGTGCTTCAATGGTTGGTGAAGCAGTGTAAAAAGGATGGGACGACGTATGCGGTAATACGCAACTACGAGTCGGGATACTTGGAGATTTATGAATACTCAAGAGATGAGCGCCTTGAGAAGTTTCTCCCGGATGATGGGGCGTGCGGAAAAGGCAATTTTGTGGGGGCCAATGATGTGATAAACAATGGTAAGTTCAACCGCGGCCGTGAGAAGTCTGGTGTAGAGGAGATTACCGAGACGCAGCGGGCAGAGGAGGAGAAGAGCGCAGAGGAGAACGAGCGGCTTAACTGGGGGTTGGCGACCATGTGCTTTCGAATGGGTATGCATTTAAAGGACTCGGAACAGAAGGCATCGGATGCGGTTTCTTTGCTACTACGCAGCTTTGCCGTGTACTTTATGCAACGTGCAAAGATGGATGAAGCTTGCAGTCATGTGTGCGAAATTGCAAAGTGTCTGCCTGCTCTTATCGGTCGTCTGATCAAAAATCGAAAGGCGGCAATTGAGGAAGCAGGTGGCATCATACAGTTGCCGGAAATTTATCGAGAAGCCTTTTTGACATGTGGCCGCTTTGAAATGCGCCTTCAGGAAGCCGCATACGATGAGACGCTTAGTGTCGCCATACGCCGGGCCTTTTTGCGGTGTATTCTGCCATGTAGTGCCGCCTTATGTGTGTGCGTTGCCCGTACGATGGAAGAGTTTGCTGCAGAGCGGCGTGTGTACATGCAGTTGCGGGCGGAGAATAATCGAGGTAGTCATGTTCACATCCACAGTCTTATTGCGAAGGACCTTCTGCAGGTCGTCGTGGAGGGGCTGTTGCGCCTGGAGCAAATGAACCGAATTTTGAAAAGCGGTGCAGCACTCACAAAGGGCATGCCGTTGGGCACAAAAGTGGAGTCAATGGCATTGATGGATACAAAAACAGAAATACTTGACGTGACACCACTGGAAACCACGGTGTGGGAACTCTACACGGACGTTGTGCTCCTCGTCATGAGCGACCGGACACCGTTTACGGCGGATGTCCTGGTGGAACTGAGCCGCCGCATCAAAGCCCGCGAGCAACGACGTCGTTGTGGAGGCGGCAGTAAAGACTGTGATCATGAGGACAACCACAACAGCAGCGGCAGCGGCAGCACGGAGACGATTGTCGCAGGGGAGTCGACCCTGGCGTGGCTGTCGGCCCTTACGCCTGATGTCGTGTCGCTCTCCTTCACGGCGCTGCGGTTCCTCACAAGAGCGGGCCTTCAGTCCAAGCGGCTCCTATCGAAGACGGCGCAGGTGTACTACCACGTGGGGCACCATTACTTTTTGACCGACCGCTACACCAAGGCGCTCGAGTCCCTACACCGAGCTCAGTCACTCTTCAAGGCGATGCAGCAAGCTCCGGCAGACACAGTGTTTGGTGCGTGTTGCACCTCCTCCGCAACGGTGACACTACGAAACGTTCAGCAATCACTGGGTGAATTGTACATTCGCATGACACGCCTTAAAACCCGTCCTGTGCCAACCGAAATGAAACTGAGTTTGCAGCAGCCACTGCTGATGGGTGAAGTGCAGGAGTTATCACAGGAGGAGGAGAATTTTTTCCGCCACGCGGTTGATTCCTTTACGAGTTGCGAGGCAAAGGAACAGCTGGCGTCCGCCCTCAGAAAATACGCCTCGCGGCAAATTGGTCAAGTTGCCTTCAGTGGCCAACAAGCGGATGTCGCAAAGGGGCGTCATATCTTCTCCATGTTGCGGAAGGTTGGGGAGCTGACTTCCAATGACGTTGAAATTGACTGGGAGGTCCTGCGGCTGTTTACATGCGCAGCACATCACGCGGCCCTGCAACACCGAGCGGAGCTGATCTTGTCACAGTGGACAGCAGGTGGCGGAACACCCGAGGCGGGTGCTGTACGCATGCCACTGAAACTCATGTCCACCGTGCATCCTGTGGAGTGTGCATTGCAGATGGCTCTCGTGTCTCTCTCACTGTTGGAGGATAAAAAGAAGTTTAAGATGCACCAACTGATGGGTCTTTTGCGTGCAAGTGCCGCCCATATCATGGTTGCAATAAAAGATGCTCATGCGGCGAGCAAGACACCTGGTGCTCTGCTGGTTCGTGCCATGTCCACATGGAAAGCGCGCTGCACACATGAGTGGGTATGCCGCATTTCAATAATGATGAGCCTTCGCGCCATGCGAGTAATGGTGCGTCTGTTAACAGGCGATAAGGCATCGGAGGCGAAGCAGCTGCTTCGACGAGTAATAGAAATGGAGGAAAAACATTCTGAGATTTTAAATAAATCGGAAATTTGCACGGGAAAATGTCAATTTTGGCGACTCTCTGAAACCCTTATGGAGTCTTTGCAGGATGTTGCCAAGTGGTGACAGGATGACTCTTTTGTTTTTACGTATATTTTAATTCCTTTTATATACCTATATATCTACGTTTACACATAAGTTATCTATATATCTATCAATCAATCAATATATATATATATGCATACCGAAAGATCTTTGTGGATTTTTTTGCTATTGACTTGAATAAATTTATCCCTCTTATGTGTTTGTGGGTGTCTGTGTGTGTGTGTGTGTGTAACCGCTTTTTACTTCCACCCCTCTTCTCTCAGAGATTATCGTGTGGACGTCGTGATGCATACTGTTGCATCGAAAGGAATTTTAATGGGAGGCGGAGAAATAATAAAAGGAAATATGTTTTGTTCTTCTTTTACTCCCCGCATATTTTTGTTGCAATGTCATTGCTCCGCGCTTTTTTTTTTTTTTTTTTTTTTTTGCTTTGACTTTTTTCGTGTTAAAACCAACAACAACAACGACAACAACGTGCCTTTGCCCGCCAACAACACCAGCCACAACCGAACAGGTAAAATTAGCGAAGGTGGGTAGGTTGAAGGGGGGCGGGAGATGCAACGTGCAGGCTGCGGCATTGTGCGGCCTGGAAGGGGCTGCCACACGACGCCGCTTTACTGCAGTCTGGCAACCATCTCGACCGGTGTCTTTGATCACTTACCGTTTCAGCACCGGCGTCAGCATGCCTTCAACACCCTTCCGTTGCATGACGCAAACCATTTTGGAGGCCGGACCGCGTACTTGCGTGAGATTGGCCCGGTGAACATCAAAAAGAGCGGACGACGGTTTAAGAAGGATCTGCGGACGGTCCAGTTTAACGTCGATATGTGGTGTGCGCAACAGACGTTGCGGAAGCGGTGGAAGCAGCGGGATTGGGAGGTGATCGAAGTGCCGTTCCGGCTGGCACCGGCGGAACAGCAGCGTGTCATACCGGAGATGTACACTGACGTGCCGCCGATGACAGACCCCGAGCGTCATGACTTTAGCAACATACGAAACAAAGTCTACGACCGTGAAGAGTTGCAAAGCGTACTTTTTGGAGCGTCCGGGCCGCTGCCGTACCCTCCACTGCAGCGTATCGATCGGCAGGCCATGACGTTGGACAAGTTCCTGTAGAGGCGTCAAGAAGAAAAAGAGGAAGTGGAGGGGGCACTTATGGGCCACGCAACATTTCTCAAAGGATGAAAAAAAAAAAAATTAATAATAAATAAATAAGTTGGGCGACGTCGTTGACTCCCTTTTCTTTTCTTTTTTATTGCTTTTTTTTTTTGCTTGTTATTTTGTATGCGTCCTTTTTTTTTTTTTTTTTTTTTTTTTTCGTTGTTGTTGTTGTTGTTTTCTCTTGACGCGTGTTTTGGTGCATTTTCGTGTGCATTGCATTTGTGCGGATCCGCACGGAAGAAACACACAGATTTAAAGAAGCAAAAAAAAAAAAAATTTTATTATTATTATTTTTTTTTTTTTTTTTTAGGAGTTGTTTGTCTATTTTCTCTGTGCGTGCCAGCCGGACAACGTGAAAAGTCGCCTGAAGGATAACAGCCAACGACCCAACAAACAAAAACAACAACAACAACAACCAAAAAAGAAGGAAGGGAAAAGGGATACAAGAGCAGAGCAAAAGGAAGGAAGGAAGGAAGGAAGAACAAAATTAAAGAGGGAACACACCCCTCCACGCAAGGACGTTTAAACAAAAGGTGATTAGTCACACCCCGATGGACACGACATATAGCAGTAACGCAGATCGCCTGGAATACTTGTACCTGAACTTAGTGGGCCAAGTGGTTCAGGTTCGTCTGGTAGACGGTTCGTCTTTGGAGGGCATTTTTGTCTCACGCACAGATGTCGACGCGGACACGGAGGCGGGTATTCTTCTCTGCTGCACTCGCTGTCTCCCCTCTTTGAAGCACAAGCCGCTGGACCCCTCATGCCTGGAGTTATTGGAAGACACAATTATTCCCTACCGGGACGTAGTGATGATGGAGGTGCAAAACGCAAAGATCCGAACAGAGGCGCCTGGCAGAACGGACACCGTTCGCAGTGATTACTCCATGAACAAAATTGACTGGGCGGATGAGGGTGCGAATGAGCTTCTGGACAGTGAGCAACATCAAACCGGTGCGTGGGATCAGTTTGAGGCAAACGAGAAGAACTTTGGGGTAAAGACGACATACAAGGAAGAGCTCTACACTACCCGGCTGGATCACAGTAAGATCACGGAGGAACAGAGGGCACATGCCGATCGTGTGGCTCGTGAAATTGAGGTGTCCGCAACGCGTGGTATTGCCCACCGAATGGAGCGTGAGGAATTCTTGAAGGATGATGGAGGCATGGATGAGGGCACGCTTTACTCCGATGTGCAGCGTCCGCAGGAAAAGAAGAAGACATACGTGCCCCCTCCCGTTGCCGCCGCACGTAAGGCGGCTGGGGAAATGCAAACGGCCGCCCCTGCCGCGGCTCCCGTGGCAACACCTGCCGCTGCCACTGCCGCAGCTGCAGCAATGGCGGTAGATGATAACACGATGCGTCACCGAAGGATGGAAGAGGAGAAAATTCCCATGCCACACGATAATCACCTACGATCCCCGGGATTTAACCCCGCGGCGGTACCTTACACACCCATGAAGACCGGAGCCGCCTCGGCACCCGTGCTTGATTTCATGACGTTATTGGCCGATACGATAATGAGCAACGAGCAGTGCTATGAGTCCCTCCCCAACTGGCCCGGTACGTGCATGTACTACGACCAAGACGATTCATCCTATTCGCAGCAAAACTACGAGAATGCCGTCGTTCCACCGAGTATGGGGGCGGCACCGCAGATGTACGTGACTCCACAACAGGGTTTACCAAGTCATCATAGAGCATATCAAGGTGGTGGGGGAAGAATGAACCCGAACCAGCAGGTGCCAATGCACCACATGCATGCCCAGTCATTTCACCAGCAGCATCAACATCAGCAACATCAGCACCAACAACAACAACCGCAGCAGCAGCCATTCCATGTTTATGGCAATTACATGCCGCAGCATCAACACAATGCGCCGATGCAAGAATACCCACCAAATAAGGGAGCCCCACCGGGTCCTATGCGTAACAACATGCGGCAGCCAAAGAGCAGCAGCGCCTCCCGTGTAGAACCACAGCAACCGGTTACCGCCAACACTTCTGTTGCCCCTCCACCCGTGCCAACGGTGGATAGCGCACCAACCCCCACGCCAGAGGTGAAGCACGCACCGAAGCTACAGCGTGGTCGAGGTGGGACAGCACCACAACGTGGCGGTGACGGTGACGGTGCGGGGGACGCGGCAGGCGGTAACCCCGGTGCTGCGAATCCTCCCGCTGGCCCAAAAAAGCGAAGTGGAAAGTAGCGAGACTGAATGTCAAGTAGGGGAAATATGGGAACGAAACAAAGGAAAAAAAAAAAAAAAAAGAAAGAGGGGTGGTGTGTGTGTGTGTGTGTTTGTGTGTTAAAAGCCAAAAAAATAAAGAGAAGAAACTTAAAACAAAAAAAAAAAGCAAAAAAAAAAAAATGAGCAATAAAAGAGGGGGAAAGAAGGAAAGAAAATGCCGATAAGGCACCTGAGGAAGAAAAGAGAGAGAGAAGGGTGTACACCCAAGCTGTTTTAGAGGACAGACCCAACAAAAGAGGAGGGATGGGAGAAGGAAGACACGAAGAATGGAAACGACGATAATCCACGGAGGAGGATGTACCGGCGTGGGGTGGACGCAAACCACAACACGATGTTATTGCATATGCGTGCACGAGACTGGAAGCGGGACCAAAAGAAAAAAAAAAAAAAAAGAAGGGGCGGGGCGGAAGGGAGGGAAGGAGGGAGGAAGCGACTGTAGCACCAGCAGACAGCGTCACCATCCGCAAGAACGTTGCATTTTCATATTTATTTATTTTTTTTTTGTCTACAGAAATACGAAAACACGTTCCCCTTCCCATTAACTTGGAGAACCGGTGGGAAAGATTGTTTCTCACAATAACGCAAGAAGAGGAAAAATAGGAGAGGGGAATGGGGGGAAGAGAGAGGGAGGGAGGGAAAGGCTGTAGTATATTAGATCCACATGTGTCATGTGTACGCGGGTTTGCGTGTGTATATAAAAATATATATTTATACATGCACCCGAAATTCTTTTATTTCTCTTTTCTTTAAGAGAAGAGTTATTTATGTTTTATTGAGACTCTGCGGCTATTAATTTAAAATGCGCACCATCGCCGTTTATTTTCTCTTTTTATATATTTATTTATTTATTTCCCGTTCATTACTTTCTCTTTCCAACCAACCAACCAACCAACCCCATATCCCTCTCCCAGCGGGTCCGTTACAAGAAGAAACCGCCGGTGACAAGAAGGAGACAGACAGACAGACAGACAGGCAGACAGACAGGCAGACAAACAGACAGACAGGCAGACAGACAGGCAGGCAGACAGGCAGGCAGACAGACACAGAGAGAGAGCTGGTTCTGTTCGGTTTTTGGTTTTTCTAAGCAATGCGTGAGCAGTGTAGGCCTCTTTTTCTTTTTTTTTTACGGGGGCAGTGGGATAGAAGCGAAGAAAAAGAAAGAAAGAAAAAAGGAGGGGTGAATGGAATGAGGAGGAGAAAAAAAAAAAAAGAGTAAAAGAAAGAAGGAAAGAGAGGAAGAGAGGAACAAAAATGATGGCCGAACAATACGTGCAACAAAAGCAACGCAAAGAGAAACACCATACATGCAAATATATACATTCAAATATAAATACATTCAAGTGCGTTGGCATGCGACCCCCATACACTGCAGGAGTTTGGAAAGAAGAAGGAAATAATAATAAAAAAAAACAGAAAGAAAGAGGAAGGAGGAGGAAGGAAAAGGAAAGAACACGAGAAAAGGAATAAATAAATGAGAAGGAAACACACACACACACGTTTTCCCGAGAAGTTTATTTTTATGGCAATTGTGGTGTTGCTTGAATGTTGTTGTTTTTTCTCTTCTGTTTTTTTTCGTTTTTTTCTCGCTCCTCCTCCTCCCTGTCGACGTGCACATTTCTTTTACGGAGGCGTGTGGGGGACCAAAAACACAAAAACAAAAAAAAGAGGATTTATTCTTTTGGCCTCTTTTTTTGTTTGTTTGTTTGTTTTTATAGAAGAAAAGAGGGAAGGAAACAAAACGGCAATGCCCGCAGCAGAAGAATTGGCAAAAAAGTTTTCTCTCTCTTTTCTTTTTTTTTTTTTTTTTTATATTACGAACCCAATTAGCAGCTTTTTTTTTTTTTTTTTCCTGTTTTTGTGTGCCCGAGTGGGAGGGAAAAAAGAAAAAAAAAAGATTTGGTTGATTTTACACCGCTGTCACTTCTCTCTTTCCCCCCGTTTCCCCCCGTTTCCCCCCGTTTCTCTCTTTCTTTCTAACGGCGTCGATTGCAATTCTGTTGGTTTTTTTTTTCCTGTTTTTTTAATTAATTAATTGATTGATTATTATTTCCGGCATGTCTTCTTAAATACGTGCCCTTTTTTTTTCTTTTTTTTTTTTTTCTTT